ATATAGATAGATATGGAGGAAGGGGATGGCTTTTATGGCGGTTTTGGAGTCAGATCTACACGCGCTCTCCGCCGAAGCAAGTTGTCGGTACCCAGCCATCAAAGACGGAGCTGAACACGCAATCTTGAAGGTTAATTTTACTTAAAAAATGAATTTATGTTATCTTCTTTCCTTACATTGCGACATTTCTGCTCGATTGATTTCATTTTTGCCCACTTTCGTTGATCCGAGTATGGCCGGAAGTGGGTTTCTTCTCCAAAAGCCCTTAACACGTCCTTGCGGTGATGAGGTGGAATATGGATTGGTGCATTTGTGTCGATTCACGGAGTTTGCTTCAATGGGTGTATATATATATATATATATATATATATAATTTATTTAACTTTTCGAATTATTTGAATACTATTTGTTGATGATTTTATTAACAACTAATATATATTTATATAGACAATATCCAAATCATTAATCAAAGTACTCATGCTATCGTGCAACGCACGGTTCCCATACTAGTTATGATTAAGTCAAATTATCATCGACTTATGTTTTGTGAATGGATCTAATGGTGGATGACTAGCTTCACATTATAACCGGTGTAATTAATGACATTAGTCGAATTCTATATCAAACCAAACGTACCAATTTTGTATTATATTTGGAAGTAGGGTATATGAAGAATATATATGATGTATGGAACACTTCTTTTTTTATTCTCATGGGTGGAGAGACAATTTCTGTAAAAACCCTCAACTTGTGACAGAGAATTTGGAAAGTTTTGAGTAAGATCCTAAATGGTTGTGACGGCGAGATTTAGGAGTTACGACGTTTTTCAAGACGTGATTTATGACGGTAAAACTTTATATTGTATATAATATTATTAAAAATGTTGGTACTATTACTCAATGATCCAAAAATAATAAACAATTTATATTATGTTATATATTAAAAATAGCAAATAAGAACATTAAAACTGAAAAATAATAATCAAATATCACGTTATAAAAACCGTGCATTAGGCCACAACGTATTACAGACTTGTCGTGGCATGAGATACAAGTATTGAGTCATGGCATGCCATGACGGTTGTTACGACGAGTCTTTTAAAACAAAGTTTTGAGAGATGGAATCGGGTTCTATATATGATTTTTAACATTATTAATTTAGGTGTACTAGCTTAAAGATATGGTGTACAATGTTTTTTTGTTTAGAAAAAATAATTACAATAATAAGCATTTGGGATTTGGTTTGATTTAGCATCGGTGGGAATCCGGAATCATACCAATTTATAAATAAAAAAACCTGATTTAATTTAGGTTATGTATTATTTTTAACTGGTCAACTAAGAATATCTAAAATAAAGCGGGTCAAACGAATAAAAGTTATTCAAAGTGTTTTCAAAGTGCTTGTAAAATATCTATTTATACACAAAAAATATATAATATGTTTCTTAATAGACCAAGGAGGAGAACCGTTTCAATATTTTTATAGGCTTTGTTATATTTGGTTAATAATATATAAATCGATCAGAATAATAATAAATAAATAGAATATAAAAGTTTATATCATATATTATATTAAAAACGTTATAAATTAAAACATCAAATATATCTTAAATGATAAAGTACCAACAAAATTTAATTGGAGTCATTACTCTAACATTGTTGGAAGCAAAATCTTTATTTAATTCTTTATAATCGACTTTCTTCGATAAATCGTCAAATTGAAAGATTAACATATACGAGTTTACCAACTGTTCTTTATATCAGGTTCTTAATAAAACCTAGCTTGATTCTAGAGCCAAATTCTCTCTTACGTATGAACTTTTGTACATTTTTCAAAGGATTATAGTGCTTTGAACAATGGAGATCAATATCACGATAAACAAAGTCAATGAAGTTGCAATAAGGCTACTCGTTGAACAAGAAATTTAAAAAACGTGAATGTTGAAGATTATTAAATAAGATCGTGCTTGATGCTTCTATCGTAAACTATAGGAACACAAAGATGAATGAGACTAGCCATATGAGAGGTAATCTTCAAATTAGAGATCCAAAGAGAAGGGATTGCAAATTTGCAATTGGCGAATCGACAAATCAAGTAGAAGAGGGGAGGAATTGGGCTAAAATTCTAAACCATTATAATTGCTTAAATGGGAAAAAATAAAAGATAAAATACCATAGTTCTTGAGCTAATTAAATATATGCTAAATATCAAAAATACATATATATAATTGGGCCACAAAAAATTTGGGGGCTCGGTTCGAAATCTCACATTGGCACACCGCACATCATCCAATACATCCCTGCATGTGAGAATAAAAGTTAATGTTAGAAGCGTAAGAAGAGACTTGAACCCTTGATCACTTTTAATCTCACTTCACCCTATGAATTTCACTTCTCATGTTGCATCTCGATGCATCTTATTAGTGTTGATCTTCAATTATGATTGATCCAATGGTGGAGATCATTTCTTACCCTTCTCACCCTGACTTCCATTCTCATCAAAACCCAACCCAATTCTTATCAAACTTAAAATAGATTTTATTGCATTATATAGACAAGAGCATGGAGATTTAACACTTAGGCAGAAATATCAAGATTCGAGCATTCAAATTCAACACTTAGACACTTTCACACAAAAACCACCAACAATTTCACTACATTATCAAGATTCAAGCAATTTATGAATACTAAAATGCCAAGTAATTAAAGCTAATCAATTTAGCTACAATAGTAAAGTAAAGTAGATAAACAATACCAACAAGAAAAAAATGTCAAGAATGGGCAAAAGTAAGAATGCTTCCAACATCAAAAAATGTCAAAGTTCCTAACTAGACACGTAATGTGTTGACCCTTTTGGAGGATGGAATCTTGGAGTTTGCTACGCAAACACTTTTTTTTTTTTTTTTGCATAACATAAGTGATTCCTTAAATAAATATTTGTGACATACCAAAAAAATTGATTGTAACACAAAACATGAACATACTTATGAATAGAATACTTGTCATATATCTCGTTTGGAAGAACACATGAAACTAACTTGAATGGCTGGGGTGTAAGAAGTTGAACAAAACGAGTATGTTACTATTGTAAGCATCTACATATTATAGTATGCATACCAAGTGCTCATACATAATGCTAATAATAACTGCTAAACTCATACTGAAAACATGTTTAAACTACCAAAGGGCCTTTGGCCTAGCGGTATCGTAGCCCTTGGCCTTCTAGGAGGTCAGGGGTTCAAACCTCACCATATGTGAGGAGGGTGTGTGAGTTTATTTGTTGCATTTGCCGTATATAAATATTATATACTTAAAAAAAACATGTTTAAACTAAAAAATCCTAAAGGTTGTATGCGACTTCGGACACAAGCTTTATGAGGTTGCTTATGACCTTGCGTTGATAATCACAAGTTTCTATTGCTTTTGGTCAGGATTTGCTATCTAAACACGAGCTCTAGCTTTCTTTCCAGCCTAGATGGTTTAAGGCGAGCTCATATTTGAGCTCCCAACCTCGCCCCTCTCTGTCTTTGCAAGCTCCCTAATCTTGCTTAGTTATTCTCAATCTCACTTTTGGTGTAAATGGCCTCTAGTTCTCCATTGACCATTGTTCAAGCCATCTTTTTGGCTTTAAGTATATATTTAGACATCAATTTTAGAACATAAAATCAACGCTGATGCGTTTCTCCAGCACATATCATTGAAGTGTGACGATTAAAAAACATTTAGATCATTAGTCGATTCTTTTACTGTTCGTTATACGTAAATACGAGAAACTCACTTCTTCTATGATTTTGATGGTATGAACTAACTCTTAATTGAAATTAAACTATGAAATACTACCTCTATTTTTTATTTCTTCCTCAAAACTTCACCACACTTTGTTTCTTTGTATTTGGTCACAGTAATACTGATTTCTCTTACACCTTTTGGAGGGATTTCTCATAAATATGGAGATCATATAGGGAGCATTCTTATTATGATTTCTTTATAATGACCAATAAGAGTCCAACATCTATGTCAAAGTAGAAATTTTGGAGATTTGGAAACTTATTTGTTCCAATAACCAAGCTTATAGTGTATGCTTAAATATAGAAAAGATAGGAAGAAGGTATAAATCTCCAAATTTGGAGAAATATCTAAAATTTAATATTGAGGAATGTATAGATTATTTTAATAATATAATTAATTCTAAAATTATTAAAATAGAATAACTATTAAAGATGGATATAATATTTTTAGAAAATTAAAAAAAAAAATTATAATATAATCGTTGGCATCTCCAATAGATCATTTAAAATAGAGAATTAGAAATTCAAAATCTTCAAAGAAAATTTATATTTATCTGCAACAGTTTTTTTCATTTTAGAGATTACAATATAAATTATATTATTAAAATATTTAATATATTTTATAAAATATTATTTTTCTCTACTAAACATTTAGTTGCATTGGTTTTCATTAATAAGAAAAATAAAAAATAAATTCTTTTTTATAAGTAACCATTTTTGAAGACTTCGTCAAATTTTAAGAATTTCTTCTCTTTATTTTCTATATTTTAAAGAAGATTTTGAAGAAATGTCAATCCCTAAAATTTCTATGAGAGCTTACTTAATGAAACGGACCGAATCAATTAAGCTTTTTGTCAAAGTTCGGCCCACTCGAGGGTATAATGAAGCTACTCTCCTCCACTCTCCACTCTCCACTCTCCAATATCCAGCCCAATTGGCAATAACTAAATGCTTTGTCTCTTGCACTACATATAAATACAAAGCTTTTGGAAATCTGGCGCCAATAACACCTCCATTTATGCGTATTTGAGAGAGAGAGAGAGAGAGAGAGATGAGAGAGGATCATCATGATATTCAAACACCAAAGAAGGAATATTCGCCAGCTTCTTCCAATCGCAAGGCTAAATCGAGTAATGCTCCGTCGAAGAAGCTACATCATCAGAAGCAAAAGGTCAAACAATCTCAATAACTATTTCAATGCGGTTAATCACGGAGTATCTTGTTATGTATATACGCGTGTGCGTGTGTTTTAAATGGAGCATTAATTGACTTCATGTAACAGAACATAAAAAAGAACCTAAGTTCTGTTTTCACTCCGATCATTGAGGAAGATGTCGTATTGAATTTCTCGGATAAGGAATCAATTGAGAAGATCTCTTCAATCTCAGAATCTGTTGACGCTGATTTCTCCACCGTACAGGTATTTTGAATACTTATATCCTTGTTTTGGTCTTAATCACTCTGTGTATTTGATCGTATCATTTTTTATGTGCAGATCAGCGAAACAAGCTTAAATTCCAATCAAGTTCTGGTTTCCGACAATGTCGTGGTGCTTCAACATCCAGAAGAGTCGGCTGGAAACTCTCCAATCTCAGAGGCTTATGTTTTTGACGAAGATCAATCCAGCACATCCATGGAGGTATATTTGTTAATCCAATTAACACTTTCAATCATCATTTGAATCAAATTTTAGAGTTGTTGAGAAGTGCAATGATAAGGATATTGACTTATACTCGACATTGAATAAGTTGCAAACAAACACACATTTACATTACGAAGAGAAATTTAGAGGTACCAGTTCTTGTTTGCTTAATAGAATGAGTGATTAGCAATTATTCCTCACAAACTGTTCCGTTTTGTTGCAATTTACGTGATCTAATTCAAACACAGTTTGTTTTAACACTTCTTGTTTACTACTCAAATTGAACGTTTATGGTTTGCTTAGTTTTAGGATACGAGGTATCTTTTCTGCTTAGAAGTTGATATGAACTTACATTTAGGCAGGAAACAAAAAAAAATGTCGGTTATCTTAGTGTCATCAATCATTTTAGTGAAATTGCGATTCATTCGAGATCAAATAATATGACAAGGCAAACATAAGTGAATTAGGAGGTGTGGATAAGACATTCACAAATATTGCTCCTATCAGCTTAAATCACCATATGACGGGTCAAGGGGGCCGTGCCCCGAGGTTTTTGGTATTTATAATAAGAGTGAACTTAGTGAAAATCTCACTAAGTATAAGTGTGGGTGAGTTTGATCAAAGATCAGGACTTTGAGTTCAAACTTAGGAAAATGGCCTAAGTCTCAACTTTGAACAAGTACGTCCAGAGATCAGGACTTTGAGTCCAAATTAGTATCCTGTCTTAAATTTGAATTAGTGGGTTCTGAAATCTGGACTTTGAGTCCATACTTGAGTTTATCCGGACTTAAGAAAATAAACCAAGTCCTAACTCTGAACTGATGGTTCCACAGTTAGGCACATCCAGACTTAAGGAAAACGACTAAGTCCTAACTCTGGACTAGTGGATCCAGAAATCTGGACCTTAAGTCCAGACTTACGTTTTCCAGACTTCTAATCAGACTTCTCTAATTCGGTAACTACTCTTCAATCTTATCCATTAACGGTTATTACCACTTAACCGCTTGTAACTGTCGATCTCTCATTTAAATATGGAAAAACGAGAACCTGGTTATAAATATCATGTTTTCACAGCCTTTGAAAAGTGATGAAAAACTTAAGAATTATCCCAATACGAAATTCGTGAAACCCAAGGCTTATAGGGTCGAATTGTTGCATTTGGAAACTGTTTTCCACACACGATTCTTAAAATTATCCGTCTCTAAATCTCATCCTAAATTACAGTCCCTAACAAAGTATGTTTGTTGCTGGTAGTGCCACTGTATCATATAAGTATTTGAAGTAGCTCATCACATGAATGTCATATGTGATTTGTGATTAAAAATTGATGTGTACTAGTATTTTGTTTTCATAAGATTTGGTTTTGTAGTAAACTAGATTTACTTTTCTGTATTTTAGAGATACCTTGCATCTTTGGATCAATTCGTTTCACCATCATCTGCTACGCTTGGTTCAGTAGAAAGTTCTCCATTGTCATCCTCGTCACCTGCTGAATCGACTACTCTGTCATCCATGTCTACTGTTGAAATGACTCCATCATCATCCCAAATAACTGCTGAACCTGTGGCAGGTTTTGTTGCTTCGGTAACTAGTGATGGAGCTATAACAGAAGAGACGGATTCATTTCAGCTAGAATCATTGGTAAAACATCTAAGAAAATCTCTGTCACAGGTTCTGCATTCAGCTGATATAGATCTCCAGTATAAGAAGCTTCTGGATGCTTTGGTTAAGATTGTGATTGAAGATTTCTATAGTTTGCATGAAGAGAAGGACATGGTTGTTGAGCTGTTTTCAAGGAAAGTAAAGATTGTGCTGCTGAGCTTTGGGTTGTCCATTCTTTTTGTTTCTTCTGGTTTCATCCTCTCTTCAGATGATCAAAGCTCTTATTATGGCCCTCCACCAACCTAAAACTTCGACCGGGAATTCAAGTGTTTGCACTGTAAGATTCCAACCATTCTATCTGCTTATTTTCACGTTTATTTGATCCCTTTTGGTATTAGCTAGCAATCTGATCGAATGATTTTTGTCGAAAATCCACGAACTAAATACAATAAGATGAAACTTTTTCATTGTCAACGTATCCTTCATGTCCACTAGGTGATACACAAATCCAGAATTGAACTTAAAACCTATACAATATTTTTGACAAGCCTAATACACCTGAATGATTGATCTATTTGTTGGTTCACCAAAAGCCCAAGAATAAAACATCTTCTTTGTTGAACAATTGCATTGTCTTCTTTTTAAAAATCATCTCTTGTTCTTCCCCTGCTTGATACTTTTGTCGATCACCGATCCACCATCTTCATTCTTCACCCAACTCTCTCCCCTGCTCGAATCAGGTATCATGACAATATGTGGCTATTAAGTATTAACTGCTTCTCATCCTCTCATGTGATTGATATGATAATGGGTTGAATCTTCTATTCTTCGCTTTTGATTTCTTTGATTTGTAGTTTAGGGTTCTTTAGTTTTGTTGTTCCAATTTTGTAAATTAGAGCATCTCAACAATTCATTAAAATCTGTAAAAGAAAAATTGCATTAAACTCCAATGGTATTCTCTCTTTTATAGATTACAACCATTGGTTATGTTATTAAAATATTCCATACGTTTAGTAACATATTATTTCTCTTTTTTAAATATTTAATATAATAAATGTATTATTCTCTCTTATGGTAATCATTTTCGGGAGTTCTTGAAATTTGTAGAATTTCTCCTCTCTCCTCCTCTCTCCATTTTGGAGAATATATTGGAGCAGAAAACTTGTCCAGAATATTTATGTTTCTATTTAAAAAAAAAATCCGATGAAGATGGATACTGAGTGGGCATTGTAATGGGTTGAAATAAATTGTTCCAAGATAAGAATATTTGTAGGTAATTAGAATCTTGCCATATGTTTATATAAATTATATCATGTGAAACATATGAAGTTGATTATTTCAAACTAGTTGACCAAGATCTTTGTTCCAACTTTAGATGTATCTTTGTAGTTAAAATATGTTTGCATATTAAGCTTATTTTGTATAAGCAACAAAAAAGCTTAAAATGTATGATTATGTGTGCAATATATAATACATATGCATAAGGTTAATTACACTGTTGTTTCTTCAGATGTCATCTTGAAACAATTATTGAAGTTTTATGCATTACTTATAGTCATTCTATGACCTAGCCATGATGACCTTTAGCTAGATTAAAGAATTTATTTATGACCAATTATTTTATTATACAAATTATTTCAAATAAAAGCACTCATACAACAGGTAATCACATGAAAAAAACCAAAATGAAGCTTGATCAATTGGTACCTGGTAGAAGACTTGTACATGGCTTTCACATGCGAGGCATATAGAGAGACTTGAAATTGCGTAAGATCAACTTGTTTTTGTGAGACTTGTGAGACAACTTTTTTATACTTGAAACTTCACAGCAAAAGTGTGAAGGTAACCTTCACAGTATTTTTTCTGTGAAAGTTCGGATTCTTTTTACCTTCACATCATTTTGCTGTGAAGTTGCAAGTGTAAAAAATAGTCTCACGGGTCTTAAAAAAACAGTCTGGTCACATGTGAACCAACCTTATACACACACACACATATATATATATATATATATATTCATAAAAATATCAATTAAATGTTTATATTATTTGTCTTTAAATTTTAATGAGGTTGACTTAACATAAGTTGATAAGAAAGATTGAAATAAGTAATTATTTCTTCTGTCATAGTTCATCTCATTATTTTCTTGTTCCAAGTTAACCATCATGTATTTAATTTTGAAATTACACAAAGAAGATGTGTTTAACATGAGTGTAAAAGAAATAAATATGAAATTGATAATTATATCTTTGTTTGAATAATATAAAAGAGTAAATTACCCAAATTGTCCCTACGGTTCTTCAAAATCCCGTTTTCGTATCTAAAATGTTTGAAAATTACAAAAATGATTATCAAGGTTCCATTTTTGTTGCAAAAATCATCCCTAGCTCCGCTAACATGTGTTGTTAAGTGACTGGTGTTAGTCACTTGAGGTGCATTTAAGTCATATAACCATATATTAATATCTTTTTTTGGTACAGGTCTTCAAAAATATTTACAAGTTGCTAAAGCATTCTCATAAAATATCATAAAGTTAACCCTCTCACCACATGACTCCGCAATGCATCTTCATCCCCTCCCCCAACTCTAGCAATGCATTTTTGACAATAGTAACTCGCCTCATTTTCATTGCAATCTATAATCTATTTACGTCAAACAAATCGTATTCAATTCCTCACTAAAACCGTAAAATGTTATACTAAAAATCATAATAATAGTTTATGAGATTGTCGAGCAATTTGTAGAGTTTCTTCGACTTAAAATTCTTGATGCAACGATAATCATGCATTTAAGCTTTAATTGACAATATATTATTGTTAGGAGTGTCTTATGTGTCAATTGGTGTGATTTTACTCTGTATATATTAGTCGAACAACACCTGGACTTGCATCCGACAAAAACTCCAGCGATGGGTGTAGAAACCCATTGTTACATCCTGTTCAAACTTCTATTGAAAACAAAAGTAATGTATATTGCTGAGAAAGGCTATAGAGGTCAATATCTAGCAAGAAAATCAAAACATGTTTTGGTATCTCAAAACTTCAATCAATCGACAATGGCTGTGGGAGAAAGTTGGATACGTGTTGAAGTATTTGGGCTTGGATATTGGGTTTAGGATGTAATCAAAAAGATAGATTTTTGTTTCTATTTTATTTGAACTTTTAAACACTTGTATGTTAACATTAAAGAGCATATCCATTTTTTTAAAATAGAAAATTATTAAATGGAAATCCTGATGATATTTTTGTAAATTCCAAATGATAAAAGATAAAAACTAAAATTTTTGATAAATTGTCAAGGACGATTTTTGTAATTTACTCTGATATAAAATTATACTAAACAATAACTTAACAAAATTGTGCTTGTTTAGAAACTTCCTAGGTGAAATTTGAATGAATGATAGAATAAAGGCCCTAACTTTGGCCTTTGTTGAAAAGGGTAGCATTACATTGATACAATGATAATCTCCCATGTGATTAGTGGGATCTTCGGCCAATAGCATGCCATTAAAGGAGGTTTATCTCAATTGTAACATGTAGTCCAATTAGTGTCTCGTGGGCTCCACTTCATTCCCCCTTTGGTTTGTTGCATCTCTTGTCTTTTTCTTAATTTAGATGGTTAATTGATTCAATCTTGTAAAATGATTTATTTTTTAAATGTATCATCAAACAGATTTAACTCAATTTGAATATAATCTAGTTCTATTGTTGTTATGGTGTCCACTTCATTTTGTCCTTCCATAATTTTATGTGGTTTATCTGCACCAACTTGTTATAGGTTACTATAGTTATGTTGTAGGATACCAAGAAATAGAAATTGCCTTGATTGTAACATGTTGTATTCTTGTTGGAATATTGAGGACTATACTTTATTTTATAAATTTAGGTGGTCATTTGAATTAACTACTTATTATAAGCAAAAGCAGTTAGCATATCTTTAAAGAGATTTAGCTAATTTGTAATGAAATAGAGTTTCGGTTCTTTGTTTGTTTGCCATAATTATAACTTATCTTGTAGTTTTTTTAAATTTAGGTGGTTGTTTGAGTGAACCGCATATATCACCTACTAGGCTACAACTAATAGCATTACATCCTATCTTTCTAATATTTGGTTAGTCTAATTGTAAATATATAAATATATATGTATGTATAATTTTGATAATTTTATATTTAGTTGTAATTAGATCGATCATAATCCAATTTAGATCTTGTGCAATCCAATAAATTGGACCGGATCAAATCAGATCCACCTAAATTCATTGTATTTAATTTGTTGAACACCAATATCATATATAACTGAAACTGAAAGAAGAAATGTTAATTTATGACATTGAGCAAAACCATATAGTTCTTGGTAAAGAACAATACACTTAAGTTTATTTAAGTTAAGAATTTTATAAAAAAAAGTACATACTACAACTATGTTTAATCAATCACCTATGATTTAGTGGCTATTGTGTATCCACTATATATAGGATGATTAAAAGGGTTTACAGTAATTAAGGAGATATACATGTATATCATATCTCATTTAAGTATTCGTTCACCGGAATCATAAATAAAAAATCCTCGAACTATATAAATATATTTTTAATATAAAGAATGGGAATGAAACTCTATGAGATCGAATCTCCCGTTGTTCCTTATCAGACTATTCGGGGGAGTTGGCGTGGGTAAAACGGTACTTCGAGACACAAGTGGACTATTTCTTTGCAAAATTGTTCCCATAAATGACCTAGAACAATAAGGAAATGATCTCAATTCCATTCATTTAATATCCAAGACCCTCCACACGACCACACCCACGATGGATTTACTTTTTTACTCGTACTTCAATTTAAGTTTTTGTACCGGGGATTACTAGCGATTCCGGCTTCATGCAGGCAAGTTGTAGCCTAATATTTGGAATATATTTATTTCTTGCACGGCCTCTCAGCTCCCCTGACTGATTATATATATATATATATATATATAGGGGTGGGTTCAAATAAAAACCACTCAATTTGTAAAAACCGTGAAAACCTCATTCAGACAATCATAATTTTTCATTTTGTTCATTTTTTTTTTGTAATTATGAGATGTTGATTAACCATTTTTATTGTGGAGGGTGTTAATCATGGATATTATCATCTTCATTATTTTAATTTTAGAGAAATACATGAAACAATTTCATTAAAACTTCATTTGATGAAGTTGTTTCATATGTGGTTATGAAATTGTTTCATATACTACTTAATGAAATTTTAATGAAATTGTTTTATGTATTTCTCTAAAATTAAAATAATGAAGATGATAATATCCATGATTAACACCCTCCACAATAAAAATGGTTAATCAACCTCTCATAATTACAAAAAAATGAACAAAAATGAAAAATTATGATTGGTTGAATGAAGTTTTCACGGTTTTTACAAACTGAATGGTTTTTATTTGAACTCTCCCCTATATATATATATATATATATATATATATATATATAACTGGAACATTCTAGAATATCTTTAAGCCTTATCAATACATTTATGAATTCAAATTGTTGTCCAGAATTTTGAGTATTAAAATCTTAGTAAAGACTCTAACCCACCCATAAATGATGGTCAAGTGTATAGAGTTTGGTGCTAATAATTGTTATCTTAGATCAAAGTAAAACCACTTTTTTGGCTGGTTTACCAATCATATAATATAACATACTGTGATGTTAACCTTCATTATGATCCCAAGTACTTTAATATACTTTAGAACTCAGGCTTAGCTGTGTACTTATAGATAACCACTTGGTGTAATCCAACATTACTTCAATAAACATTTCAAATCATTTGTTTCTGGCA